TGGAGAAACCCACGTGAGACCCCTCGTGTTGGGGTGTCTGAGTTACAAAAAGCACATTACTGAAATACCGGCACGTTTTGGGTACGTGGAAGCCAAGTCGGCGTCGATGTGTTGGCTCTGGGGCAAGAAACCTCATTTCCTTTGAAAAAAGGAGTTTCCAAATGACTTTGTGTGTGATTTCTGCTGTGGATTCGGAGTTGGAATGAGTGGGTCAGTTTGTCTAAAGCACATCCAGCTCTTGAGCAGATCTTGAGGCCACCATCGGCACCGACGGTTGAATTTTATTTTATGGTTGATACGTTTTATGCCTGATAAATTTTGGGAGCTCAGGGACTTTCTATAGAAACATTAAAAATTACTTGGGATATCTTGGTACTCTGTTGATTTTAGTTGAAAGGTGATGTTTTGGGTGGCCCCAGGTTCTGGAAGCCCATGAGCAATTTGGGCATGGTTTGTAAGCCCTCGTGCACATCCTTCTTTTACCTGTTGTTTGGGATTTTGAAAATTTTTTTATTTTTTAATCCTAGTTTTACCAGTAAGGAGCCTACTTCACATGCACTGGGACTGCTCCAAGGTGCAATACAAAAAAGTAGGGGCAAGTGGAAGGGATTTACTTTAAAAGTGCATTTAGAGCTAAAACACTCGTGGGGGTGTGTCGTTCTTTGCCGTATTTCCTGAAAATCCATGGAATGTTTTGAGGAAGAATGGGAATTTTTAGAAAGGCCAAAAAAAAGGGCCTCAAGGATCTTGTTGCATTTTCAGAATGGATTTGAGACATGCAGGTGCAAGAGAGGATCTTGTTGCATTTTCAGAATGGATTTGGGACATGCAGGTGCAAGTACTTTTAATAGGCCCTTTGCAAATTAAGCTAGAAATCTAAGACTGGGAGGAGTTACGTGCCATTTCTGCTTATTTTTGGCTCATTTTTCTCTGTCTCTTCAGTTATTTCATTGCTGTATCTAAACTAAAGAGCAATATTAATATCTATTAAGTGTCTATGATAAGTAGTTGATTGCATGTGAAAATGGTGGATTTGGGGGAAATAAACCAGCGTTAATGACGTCGATGTGTGCATGGACATAGATGGGTGCACACGTAAATTTATTTTTTTCTCCAAGCTTCATCTTTTCAGCCTTTCCTCCTCTATTTGTGTTTCCATTTCCACTTACGTGAGGCTGCTTCTACGAAATCTTCTCCATCCCCTCCCAAACCAGCCCTGGGGCCGCGTTGGGGCATCAGGGAAAATGCAGTTCGCGTGGTCTGTAGGTTATCGGGGTTATTTCCTTTCCCATTACTGTTTTTCCTTGGCAGGAATCCTTGGCAAATTGTCACTTCAGCATGAAGAGAGGGGATGTTGAGCACTGAGAGCACCACAGCCGGTGGCTTTGGGGTCAGTGGGTCCCCTCTCCATCCCACTTCTCCTCCTTTTTGCCATCGTCTCAGGTCATTCCCACTGGTTGCTTCCCAGGAAACTAGGAGCGAGATGGAGGGAGGGAGCAAGCTCCTGGGGCTGGAAACAGCAGCTTCCCCATCCCGTGAAGAGGGCTTCCCACAGATCTGAGCTGCTGCTTCAGCTCTCCACAAAGTCTGCTCCTATGTCTGGAGGTGGCCATACTGCTGGGGGTGTCTGGCTTTGTCCTTAATTTCAAGGGTAGACAGCAGAAAGCCGGTATCAATTCAAAATTTGTTAAAGGGAAGTTACCGGAGATATGGTTTAGTGATGGTGTTGCTTTTTGTTTGTTGTGTGGGTGTTTATTTTTGTCAAAATTAGGTTGATGGTTGGACAAGATGATCTTTAAGGTCCCTTCCAACCTAGAAGATTCTGTGATTCTGAAATTATTTTATCTTCTCCTATCTGTATTTCTGGTGTATTTTCTCTTTAATGTGATAGTTTGCCTTTGGGATGGGAAGGGAGGATGGTTTGGTGTGGCCCCTTCTTATCATAGAATGGTTAGAGTTGGAAGGCACCTTGAAGACCATCCAGTTCCAACCCCCCTGCCCTGGGCAGGGACACCTCCCACCAGACCAGGTTGCTCCAAGCCCCCTCCAGCCTGGCCTTGAACCCCTCCAGGGATGGGGCAGCCACAGCTTCTCTGGGCAACCTGGGCCAGGCTCTCACCACCCTCACAATAAAGAATTTCTTCCTAATATCTAAATCTCCTCTCTTTCAGTTTAAGAAATTCTCCTCACGATTCTTCACATCTTCATAGCTGGGTGAGGGGTGTCTCCAGGCGCTGGCTGAGCCTGGGATGGGGTGTAAATACAGAAACGAGCTTTCAGATCATTTAAATAAGCACAAAAAAACCCTGATAAAGCAGTATAATGGTAAAAAATCGGAACCTTTTTCCACCCTTTTCAGTTTCGTGTCCTCATCAGGCAAAGCCGTGTGTTTATTTGACCACATTTCTGTGTTTTTCTAGTTGTCAGGGCAGAGAAGCTGGTGTTGCACTGCCATCTCTCGATGGCCGGGCGGGACGGCGGGTGGCAGGACTTCTCCTTTCTCCCCAAAGCAGCTTGTGGAAAACACTTCCACCAGCCTTGAAAAATTATCCTCATTGGGCAGGGTGAAGAACACTTTTGACAGACGAGCAAAATGTTAGGGATTTTTAATTTTTTTTCCTAACAGGGGAATTTAGGTGGCATCTCCACAGTTCTGGTTGGAGTGGGGAGCCTTCTTGATATTAATAATGTGGGTTGTCTCTGTTGCAAATACCACTTTCAGCTGATTTCTGCATTTTGACCTATTTCTTTGGATGATGCAGCAAGAATTTAAAAATCAGTAACAGACTCATGAAAAAACCACTACCACTTGTGTGTGTATGTAATGTAAAAAGGCTTTTTTGTGAGTCTTTTTAAATTTAATTACATTTTTTTTTCTGAAGGAGAATATTGTTCCTTTTCCTACAGAACTTCTCGGTAACGAGCAGTCTTAAATAAAGATGATTTGTGGCAGGTACGACGACAAAGTGTAGCTGAATGAAATTAATGGAGGGTTCCGCACGTGGCAGAAATCTTTGCTAATGCATGAAATGGCTCAAAATAACATTAATTTCACACACTGCTCAATAAACAAGCCCTCGAAGCATATTGTAATTTGGCAGGTACAGTGTGTCTGTCGGGCATGGCTGGGGGCTGTGGATGAGTGGAGTTGGGTTGGTATCAACATACCTTTATTTACAACTTGTGGTGCACCAGCTAGAAGCTGTTGCACTGGAATAATTATATTTTCCTTTAGAAATGAGAAGGATTTAAGTAGCTTTGCGTTTTATATTTATTTCCTTAAGAAATGAAGCCCGTCTTCCTCCCTTCAGTAGCGCGTTGTGCTCGAGATGCAGGAGATCTGGGTTTCTATGGACGTGTCCAGAATGGTGTACAGCCCCCCCTTTCCTCTTTGCTGGGATGGGTTTGGGGGTGTCTACATGCTCATCGTGTGTGATTTTGGGCAAACACTCTACTTCTGATGTCCAAGTTCATCCTGTAGCCTCTCCTCGAGGAGCTTAATTGGGCCTTTCCTCTAGGTTATTATGGGGCTTGTAGGAAAGTCACATCTTGGAGAGCTCTTCTCGGCTTCAAATTTGGTTGTGATTGACTGGTAGAATTCACGAGTTAATTAATAAGAAAGCGTGGTGATTTTGCCCTATTTTTAGGGGAAATCTTGCTGGGAAAAAATGCCTAGAAAGTGTCTGTATGGCAGCCTTATATTGGCCATGCTCATCTTGGAGTTGTTGCGTTCTGCTGCGTTCACCGCTTTCCCACCTGGAGCAATAGTGGCAAATATAGCAAAACCTATTTATTTTGAACAATACAAGAAAACCTTTTCTCCACTGCTTTTTTTTTTTTTTTTTTTTTTTAATTATGTCGGATCCAGGTCAAACTTTGCCAAATCACAGTAGGGAAGTTGCTTACCCTCTCAAACTCCAGTTCCATAAAGAAAATGATGGTGGTGGCTGGGTAAAACGCTTGAAGGTCTGCTGATGGAAAGTGCTGGGTGGATACTGGGAATAGGAGAAGGACCTTTTTTCATACTATGCTCTGGAAGCTGGTTTTTTTTTTACTTGTTTACTCATGGAAAGGTCAGGATTTTAATTTTCAGACATTGAGAAGTCATGAGAATGGTCTTAAAAATGAAGCTTAAAGTTAGAAAGAAAACACTGTATTCTCTCTCTTCATCCTTTACAGACTCTTGTTTCATATTTTCAAAAATTTTCATCAAATATATATATAACCTGATATGTTATTTGTCTTGCTAATTATTTACCATTAATAAAAACAAGGGGAAATGGAGGAGAGAGTGTATGTGTGTGTAAATATATATATATATGTATTCCTCAATGTTTTTTAAAGCATTGATTAAAAGCCCAGAGAAATGTTACTAAAACCACTGTTTGAAGTTTGTCTCTAATTTCAAGAATTCCTTTTGCAAAGTGTAAGTGCGTGGTTGAGATGTTTTCTAATTTTTAGTGGAAATAGTTGGGCTTTCTTTGAACACATCCAGTGCAATAGCCCATATTACACCTTTTAACTGGAGTAGGAGTACCTGAAAATTGAAGTAGATTAGAAAGTAAAAGTGAGAACTTGCCTGGGTACCAACGTGAAACCAAATTCTCTGTCTTTGTTTGCCAGACAGAGAGAAATCCACGTTTTAAAAAATGTGTTCCATACTAATAATGTTGATTCTATTAAACTCACTTGATTATTTCTTAAAAAAAAAACTGTGAAAATTAGGCCTTTTTAATACTGGTATTCAGCAGCATATTTCCCCAGTCCATCCCAATTTGCATCATTTGAAAATCCAGCCCTTCAATATTGAATTTACTGACCTTTATGTTGTGGTGAGACAAATGACTTTTTAATGACTATGGTCTTAGACTTATTTGCATTATAAAATAAAACCATTGTCTGTGCTGCCAGGGAGCTGCTTACTTTATAAATACAGCATTTGTTGAGAAATACGTATTAGATACTAAAGATACTTAATTGACCTACTTTTTTATTTTCAGGGTTGTGTCCTTTGTTGTGACCTCATGGTTTAACTGGGAATAAAGATGAGTATAAGCAGTGATGAGGTTAACTTCCTGGTATATAGATACTTGCAAGAATCAGGTGAGGTTTTTTTTTTCAATTCTGGTTGTTAAACAATGCATAATTTATTCAGAATTCGTCTGCAACTGGCTTTAGCAAACGCAGATTCATTTAATTATTTTGCCAGTAGGCGTGTGTGCTTCTCTCTGAACTGTTTCTTGGTGTTTCTTCTCAACAAGAGAATGAATTCCTGCCAAGTTACCTTCTGTAACTTAATCAGATTTAGTCATTTGGAGCCTTCAGATGGCAGTCAACCAACTCAGGACTCACTTGATTGCTAGAAATGCGTGTTCCTGGAGATCACTTTTAGCTAAAAGTATCGACGATGGCACTTTGCACCATTTTCTTTGGGGCTACTTGAAGAAGGAAGGAGGAAGACCACCCAAACAGTGTTTTTTCCTGTTCTGTTGGTGTTCCTGCGAGCTGGTCTCGCGTGGCCAAATTCCTTGCCCAAATGTGACACTGGGAGGGCAGATGTTGCTGTATTTCAAAGGAAGATGGGACAACTGTGACCATGAGACTCATATCGTTTGTCATCTAAATACAGATAAAATCTAAATATCATCTAAATATAGATAAACAAGTTTTTTACCAGAATGCCTCTTGGGTTCTCAAAATCCTCTCTCTCTGGAGGACACTTTCTTGGGGGATTTTGTCCTTTGGTGTCAAGCTGGCCCAGAGCCTACTCCGTCTTAGGATGAGTAGCAAAAGACAGATGAGTATCGTCAAACTTGAAAACAAACTTCAGGCTTCTTGAAAATGCATTTGACTGATGCAACATCTGTCTTACTGCTTATGTCTGCTGCTTGTGGACTTCTCAAACTCAAACAAAGAAGCACCAGAAGCAGTAGTGGATGGTGGAGTTTTTCAGTCTCTGCTTGTCAGAAGAAAGGAGAAACTCATTGTTCCGCCTGAATTTACTGAAAACTATTATAAGTTCTTATTCCGGCTGCAGATTGCTTTTGTCACAGAAGCCAAACTTACAAAATTGCTTTATCTTCATCTGAAAGTTTGCAGGCAGCTTCCCAGTTACCTGTCAGCAAAAAAAAAAAACACCAAAAAAAAAAAACCACCCCAAAAAGAAAACTTTATGACAAAATTCCATGAGAGTAAAGTTAATTTTCTGAAACAACCATTTTTCTTTAGGTTAAATTTGCCTTTTCAGGGCGATCAAATAAATAGCAAGGAACTACCAGCACTGCACCCTAATGTGCTTGCCACTTTTTTAATCAATGCACAGTGCTGGTGTAGTGCTGATTGCCAAAACACACACAGTGTGACAGTGCTGGACCCTGAGGTGAATTCTGTTCTACCTACAGATCTGGTTTACTTACATCAGTGAGTAAAAGTAATAGTTGAGTTTTGGTGTCTTGGAGAGATATATTTTATTAAATACTATGTATGATACAATATATATATTGTTTTAGAATATAGAAATATATGTAAATTCTGTTGCAAGTTGTATATATTATATTTTTTTTTAAATATGAGTAGTGTTGTCTATCCAGAAATGAATTCTGATGGTTTTTACCTTGTCTTTAGGGTTTTCCCATTCAGCATTTACCTTCGGTATAGAGAGCCATATCAGCCAGTCTAATATAAACGGTGCTCTGGTGCCACCAGCTGCTTTGATTTCCATCATCCAGAAAGGTCTGCAGTATGTAGAGGCAGAAGTCAGTATTAATGAGGTAAGGAGCCTTTGCTGGCAGGAGCGTTACGTCCTTGCTCGCAGTGAGTTTGAATGTTAGTAATTTATTATTTTTTTTTCCTTAACTTTCTTGTATCTTATTTATTTACTTCTACTTCAGATTCCTTACTGCTGGTGTTCACCATGACTCCAGTGGTGGGACCCAGAACGGAGGGACATAACTGGGCAGGGCTTCTGCCCAGTGCAGCCACACAACACCAGCCATGGTGTTCTGGCTCATTGCATAAAGGTCCGTTGTCTGTGGAGTTTTTACCCTAATACATGTTATACTAAATCCAGACAAGCGTAATAAAATAATCATTGAGACAAGTAACCTCTTAATTTTGGGGTTTTGTTGACCTGCACTGAGGAGGTGGGGAAACTATTCAGCTCTCATTTGGGTGATGTCTCGTTATAAAGAGGTAACAAGAGCCCAAGGGTGAGGTTTCCAAACAGAGAGAGGGTTTCAGTTTGTGGCAGGAAGGATGAAGGTAGATGCCAGTTTGCTTTTTGTCCCTGCCAGCTGATTCATCTTGAGCAGGATCTCTTGGGTTTGATGTATAAATGGTTATTCCAGCGGTACGGAAAGCCGCGCATCTTCCTGCCTGATGCTACAGATGCCCTCAATTTCCATTCTCATTTATGCCTGGAAGGTTAACAGCCCTGGAATCTCACTTACATTGCAAAAGGAAACAATTTTTATCACTAATTGTACTCTCTTTCCAGTCTCCCTTACATCTTCTGTTTATGTGTAGTTTTCATAGTCCCACAGAAGCAAATCCTTTCCCTTAAGAAGCCTCAGAAAAATAAGGCAAGAGATTGGAATAGAAGAAGGAGACCCTATATTTATCGCAAGGAATCCTTCTAACTCCTAAAAATAGATCCTTACAAAGCCCCAGCATATGTATACGGGTATTTTTAACTGGGCCTTGTCCATTTCAGGATAAAATCCTTCCTTGTTGTTTGAAAGCATGCCAGCCCTGCTTAAAAAAAGGAAGAAAACTAGTCAACTCTCCAGATAATGTGTTTATGGAAAGTATTAGTCTAATAAGATGGAATAACTTCACAAGCCAGTGACCCGACTTGCAATGTTTGCAGCTCTTCAAACAAGCCATTAGATTTTTGTTGCAGCCACTCATGTTTGAAATCATATTCATAGATAGCTTACAGAATTTTTTGCTTTAGCAGACCATTTAGCAAACCCAAAGCGTGTAACACCTGATCCCAGAAACTCTGCCAGAAGCCTGTGGTGGCTTTTATTTTTTTTTTTTTTGGCATAATGATGGTGGCCAATTAAATTTAGCCTAAAATTCCAATCCCAACCTCAACAATGATGGGAGATCACTTCCAGCACCGCTCATAAACCGCTCTGTTATATTAAATCAAAACTTTTGCTGTAGTTTTCCTTGGAATTGTTGCCCGAAATGTTAACTTGCACTTGGTGTTGTTTTTTTTTTTTGTTTTGTTTTGTTTTGTTTTCTCCCTCTGCCGGAATTTAGGATGGTACCTTGTTTGATGGTAGGCCGATAGAGTCTCTCTCACTGATAGATGCAGTGATGCCTGATGTGGTCCAGACCAGACAACAGGCCTACAGAGATAAACTTGCACAACAGCAGGCGGCCGCCGCCGCAGCCGCAGCCGCCACCAACCAACAGGGAGCAGCCAAAAATGGGGAAAACACAGCAAATGGAGAAGAGAACGGAGCACATACTATAGCAAGTAAGTTGAGACAAAAACGACCTTAACCTACCTTAATGTCATTTATTGTAGTAGGAGCCAGTAGACAATGAGGTGGATGTGGAGATGTACTTCGCTTGTGGAGAGTATCTTCTCATTTATTGTAGTAGGAGCCAGTAGCCAATGAGGTGGATGTGGAGATGTACTTCCCTTGCGGAGAGTATCTTTATCACAGGTGATGCTTCCACGGGTGGTGTCTCACCTTCCATTGTCCCCAGTTTGATATTTGGAATTGCAGGAGATGCAAACATCTGCACTCATTCATAGAATCATAGAATCATAGAGGTTGGAAGAGACCCTTGGGATCATCGAGTCCAACCATCTCCCCTACTCTACAAAGTCCTCCCCTACACCATATCCCTCAGTACCCCATCTAAACATCCCTTGAACACCTCCAGGGATGGTGCCTCAACCCCCCCCCTGGGCAGCCTGTTCCAATGCCCGACCACTCTTTCGGTGAAAAATTCCTTCCTAATGTTCAATCTAAACCTACCCTGTTGGAGCTCTCGTTCTGTCACTAATTCCCTGTGAGAAGAGACCAGCACCAACCTCTCTACAGTGTCCTTTCAAGTAGTTGTAGAGAGTGATGAGGGCTCCCCTCAGCCTCCTCTTCCTCATACTGAACAGCCCCAGCTCCTTCAGCCGCTCTTCATATGATTTGTCTTCCAGGCCCTTCACTAGTTTCGTTGCCCTCCTCTGCACTCGCTCCAGCACCTCAATATTCATTCACAATATTCCACTGACCAGTCTCACTTCCACTCCTGCTCCTTTCCCATCATCCAAAGGTTTTTCGTGGGACCCCCCGAGAGCTCTTGCAGACAGAGGAGGAGGGGGGGGATAAATCAGAGACAACTCCTTAAATACTGCATCCCCTCAGCTTTGCCCACTGTACAAGGAATAAGGAGAGGACTCTGCTGATCCACAGCTGCTTGTGAAGCTCCACAAACTACTTTTGACAGGTTCTCCGTAGGACAGACCTCCTTGGCAGGCTGAGATCATCAACCAGGGTTGCTGGGACAAATCCTGGGCCCTTGGTCTCCTTAATCACAGCCAATTTTCATGATTTGCTATTCAGAATTATTTGATGCAACTGGTTGCAGGTTTGGGTTGTTCATTGATTCCATTTTAGTTGTGATTAAAACTCACTTGTTTCACTATTTGTGGTCCCTGGTCACAGTTAGGCTGAGTATAGAAAAGTTCAGGTCAAGGATTAAAATGTGATTATGAAAATATTGTTCTGGAAATCTGAAAGTTACACATTTGAGAGGGGGAGTTACAACTCCTGCTGTAAAAGCACTGGAAAAAAAAGATATTTTTGATTTCCCTATCAAGCCGTGTAAAAGTTTTGCATTTTACAGCTGGATTTTGTAGGTTTGTCTTATTGTTATATATGGTAAAAAACCTGCAAATATTATCTTTGTCTTAAACAAATAAGCTCTCTACTTCAATGCTTTAATTTGAAAAAAAAATTCAAAAGAATATTTACTTGTTAACTGTGAACTGGATAGAATAAGTAAGAACTCCAGCTCTTGGCCACTGTTAAATGTGATATACCAGCAACCCCTGCTGGCTGGTACACCGAATTATACTGGCAGTGATTCTCTTTATATGGTGCTTCTTTCTTAAAAATACTCATGTTCTAATAGCCTTTTCTGTTTTCTCACACATACAAATGGTGACAGAAACCCTTAATTTTAAATTAAGCAATATATGGGAAATGGTTTGTTCAACTCCAGTGAATAAATACAGAGCAGGTGAACTGTTCAGCTTTTTTTTTTTTTTATGTTCTGCATTTACGCTCAGTGTGAATTTATTTTTAATAATAGAAAATGATTGATGGTAGCTGTTTTCTCAGTGGAATTACCCCCAGTGTGTTTTACAGAACAATATGGATTCAACATCACTTCCACGTGGAAAGCGATGTATTGCCGCAATTCCACGGTAATTGCCAATGCAGTTTCAAAAGATCTCTTATCAGTTTACTGTATCACCAAATGTTATTATATTAATTAAAGCCATTTTGTAAATGAAGTGTCTGAGATGGAGATTTAAAACCTGTTCGACTGCAGTTGGTGAAAAGAGAGATATTTTCTTAAAAAGGAATGTGTCATAAATGTATTTTTAAAGCACGAGATAGTGACATATTGTACTGTGCAGTATCATGCCTGAGAAACTGTGACTGCTTTTAACATCACCCTTTATTTATTAACATTGAAAAAAAAAATATAATAACTTTTGGCCTCCATTTTGAAATTTCAAAATTAAATCCATTTGGTTTCTGAGGTTTAGAAGGGCTAAGAGCTTTCTCACATTTGTGAAACTCCCCATCTGTTTATAGCACTTCATAAACTGGAGCTGGATTTTGATCCACGTAAATTGTGAATTACTAGTTACACTTATCACAGAAGATGATGAACCCTACAGTAGTTACACACTTATTTTGTCCCAAAATATTAAAATCTACCTCTCTCTACTGTTGTTTCCCATAATGCAGATAATCACACGGATATGATGGAAGTAGATGGAGATGTTGAAATCCCTCCCAACAAGGCAGTGGTGCTGCGAGGGCATGAATCTGAAGTTTTCATCTGTGCCTGGAATCCCGTCAGTGACCTTCTGGCCTCAGGGTATGGGAATGAACCATTTTTGCACTTAATATTGATGCTCATTGGCACAGGAACAAGTTAGAACAATACCTGCCCCAACGCCCTCTACATCATGCCACAACATTTGCTCTCTCTAAAAAAATACCTTTTTAAAATGGAATGAATTCACAGAATCATAGAACTGTCTAGGTTGGAAGGGACCTTTAAGATCATCTAGTTCAACCATCAACCTAACTCTGATAAAAAACCATCACTAAACCATGTCTCTAAGCACTATGTCAACCTGGCATTTTGAATATCTCCAGGGATGGTGCCTCAACCCCTTCCCTGGGCAGCCCATTCCAAGGCTTAATAACCCTTTTCGTGTCAAAATTTTTCCTAATATCCAATCTGAACCTCCCCTGGTGCAACTTGAGGCCATTTTCTCCTGTCCTATCACCTGTGACTTGGGAGAAGAGACCAAACTCTGCCTCTCTACCCCCTCCTTTCAGGGAGTTGTAGAGAGCGAGGTGGTCTCCCCTCAGCCTCCTTTTCTCCAGGCTGAACACCCCCAGCTCCCTAGCTGCTCCTCATAAGATTTATTCTTTATACCCCTCACCAGCTTCATTACCCTTTTCTGGACTCCCTCCAGCATCTCAATGTCTGTTTTGTGGTGAGAGGCCCAAAACTGGACACAATACTGGAGGTGGGGCCTCACCAGTGCCCGGTCTCCTCCTGAGTCCCACTCCCCACGCTATTCCTGATCCAGGCCAGGATACCATTGGCCTCCTTGCCCACCTGGGCACACTGCTGGCTCACGTTCAGCCAACCAACACCCCCCAGGTCCTTTTCTGCCAGGCAACTCTTCCCCAAAATGGAGAGCAGGGGTTTCTCATGAGCTGTGTTGTAGGTCTGGCGATTCGACGGCACGGATATGGAACCTCAGCGAGAACAGCACGAGCGGCTCCACGCAGCTGGTACTTCGGCACTGTATACGGGAAGGGGGGCAGGATGTCCCCAGCAACAAAGATGTCACATCGCTGGACTGGAACGTAAGTAGAAGCAGCAACGTTCAAAACACCTTGAGAAAATTCTCCCTCTAATTTGGCACAATCAAATTTTAAGTGACAGCAACTCCGAACCCTCCGCTACGGCTGCGGAAATATCACAGAATCACAGAATCTTAGTGGTTGGAAGGGACCCTCTGAGATCATCGAGTCCAACCACAAAAAAAAAAAAAAAAACAAAACAAAACAAAAAAACAAACAAAAAAAAAACCAAAAAAAACCCAAAAAACCCACCAAAAAACCCCCCAAAAAAACACACCACACCAAACGCCCACCAAAAACACCGACCCCACCAACTAAACCCCA